AAAGAGACTGAAGTCAGAGCCCGAATTTGTGCGCGCGGCAACAAAAGGAGAGAAAAAAGGGAAACGCTGGAAACGAGAATTACTTCCTTGCTGTACAATCGTGGCGACGCCTCGCCTGGTAACACACACTACACGTGGTTTCAAGGGTCAATCAATAAAGTCGCGCAAACATCAATACCTCTCATTGGCGTGCGCAAAATCTTAAATCAACGTGTCCGTGATTTTTTGTTTTTTAATCTCGTTTATTAGCCAGTGGGATACGAGAAAAACCCGTTTTTCTTACCGGTTTCTCCATTGAAATATATAACATTCATATCACAAAGTATAAAAATAGGATCATTAAATGTACCGTTAAATGGATTTAAGTGTGAATGGAAAATACGGACTGAAGGGTAGCAAGAACGTATAGTGAAGTTCCGTGTCGAATTGCCGGGCGAACAATTACCCTTTACTGTGAACAATGTGCTCAATGTGTAAACGCGAACGTATACGTAAATGAAAGTTGCTAGGATAAAGCAAAGGATACTATTAAGTATCATTAGATAGAGCTCGTTTGGATATAATTGCGCTTGGCGACCTTAAAGGACACCGTTTTTTATCGCTCCGGATATCTGTACATGTATGTCGCACTTTTATTTTTTTAAGTCAAGTCTACTATTATGACGTGGCGATGCCGCGAATATTAGAATATAAGTTTTTTTTTCTCGAATAACCCCGCCATTCCCGTTTATTAAATGATCCGTAATAACAATTGATATCAATGAATATAAAATAATATTAATAAATATATATTTCATATACATATAAAATAAAATATAATATTTATGTAATATATATTCCATTGTTAATACAAATATTTACACAGAATATATAAAAAATATATACGTTTTAAAAACTAACTTTTAAAATCGTCATATCTTTTATTATTATATATTGTTTCCTAAATTTATCTTTCGTACGTTTTACGTGACAGTGGTTTATTCAAGATTTCGAGGGTTAATAGACGCGAAGTGGGATTTTCCACAACGGAAGCTTTGCGGTAGTCGGGTTAGCCGGAAAGATCGATTGTCGTACTGCGACACTAATGTCGGGAGTTGGCATAACTTGGCGGTTTGCGCTCCTCTCGAGCAGTTCTGAAATCGAACTACGATGTCGCGAAAATCCTTCCCCAGATATTCCGCGATGACAGCGTCGTTATACAATTAAACGTAATTTTCATCATACACGTCGCTTTCAATTAAGGGCCGTGTGAGGTATCAATCTGAATATATGGGAATGTTGTGATCAGAATTATAGGTATAAACCGCGATTATGGATAATTGCTGTTGTTAACACTTAAGAGCGTGGAAACGCAACTTCGCCTTTAATTACAGACTAAAGTGTGCGGACAGTAGCTTTCCTCGCGATGGGAATGTTATAGCAATTACGGCAATTACGCCAGATTGCGGTTATTGATGACTTATGTTATCAAGATTTAAACGGAAGGAAGCACGATTGCTTTGCGACGTCGAGTCTTCCGTTGCAACAATATTGATTATAAATATGCTTTAATTACTTAAAATTCTAAGAATATAAAAAAATTCTTATTGACTGAACATGGCACACAGTATTGTGAATATATAAAAATATCGTTCCCTGTGAGAAATAATACATGCGAGAGGAAAAAGTTGAAAAAGTCAGTGTCAACGTACGCTAGTTGAGCTCTACTTCCTGAAGATACGTTCCGATGAAGACTCTATACGTATATAAAGACGTACTTCATGCAGCCTATAATTTGCCCTTTTTTTCATTGTATCTCATCCGGAGGAAGTAACGACATACATGAGGGGAAGGAAAGTCACATGATAAAACGACGTGCACTCATCGCGCGTGACATACGACTCCAGTATTACGGCTCCAGTTCGTATTATGTTAATCCCTTCATTCTTAGTATCACTTATGATTATATCATGTGAGACACGCACAATTTTGTGCACTCGAGAACGACCCTCTTGCTTCTCCATTTACATGATACACTTGATATTCACGCATCTGGCCGTCGAAAAATCTCAACTAAACCGCGCGCGATCGTAGGAAAACCGGTCGTTCATGGAGGAAGAGAATTCATGGAGAAAAACTCGAAAATGTCGCGTTACGTCACGCACGATCGTCTATCATCGATACAGGATGACTTTCTCGGTGAAATCAATACAAGGAAACGCTTATTCGAGCGCATCGATCGGCGCTTAATAATAATTACATAATAATTATGCGTCACTGCGATGGTTATCGCGTTTATTAGCGTACGACTATTTATAGATGGAGATACGATTTTTGTCTGACGGATAATGTATTTCTTTTATTATTAAAAGTGTTTCAACAGAGACTTCAACGTTAAACTGCTAACTAATGGCTTTTAGACGAGCGAAGAATAATCGGCCGTAAAAATAAGTTCTTGCGAATATTACGACAGATACTTACTAACGGAGCCACCACAACACGGAGATTGCATGCAAAGCGCGCGACTCGCGCGGGAATCAAAAACTCGCGACTTTATTCGCGATAGCGAGCACTTTTCTCTCGATTGCGTCACTTTTGCTCGCGTTGGCGTGTACGTGTGAAAACCCGGCGAGCGCAACCGTTCCCTTTCTTCACAGCGTACTCATTAGCGAGTTACTCTGAGAGCTTTTATTATTAGAAGTATACGCGATGTCCCAAAACGTCATCCTGAATCTCTTTCTCCTCACAGATTTTTTTGTCTCATCTAGAACGGCTATTTACCAAACAAATATATTATCACTGATTATTCTAGTCAAAAGAGATTTTGAATTATCAAAAGAACATACAGGATTTTTCGATAACTGTAGGCTTTAAAGAAAATAAATAACGAAGATATATCTTTTTTTCAGATTATACTGCATTAATTTCTTAATAGAGTTGAAAAATAAACATTTTTTTAAATGTAGTTTATTAAAAATTTACAGTAAATTATTTTTCAGAAACTGAGAAAAAAATTATTTATAAGTGGGCTAAAAATTTTATTTTAAATTTAAATAAAAAAAAAATTCAGTGTCTAAATAATAATAACATCATATTTTTCAATCAGTTCTGAATTTGTTAACCTTTACACAGGTAGGTGGCTACAGCATCCTACGCACAATTATCTAAAAATCTCGTTCTGACCTTTGTGAAAAGTAATAAACTTTAAGACTTCTAGATTTTTTTATTTTTCTTTTCCGAGACGAGACCTTTGTGAATTTGATATCCGACTTTTTATAAATTATACATGGAACTACAAACGAAATTATTATTACTACAAACAACTGCAAATAAAAGAATATCATTTTTTAATAAAAAAATGGAATTTGTAAAAAATCAAATTCACAAAGGTCTCGTAGTTTATTACTTTTATATTCTTCTATCACATGAAGATACAAATAAAATAAATTTAATTCTACATATATAATTAAAAAATATAACTATAAAAATAAAAATTGTTTGGTTCTGACGACCTAACTATTAAAGATTAATAGAATCATAAATTAAAAATTAATTACAAAATGTAGCATGTTAGAAAAAGGTGTGATAAATCACGATTTTTATTTTAAGCAAAGAAAAATTGCCTCGAGGCTAAAGAATCCGTAATGAGAAAAGACATCTATGAGGTATATAACGTTAGGTATATAACGTGCCTTTACGGCGACAAGAATGGATTTCTGCAAAAGGAAAAAAACTAATCACGTTTCGAGATCAAGTGCGGTCGGCGTTCAATTCGGAGTTCATCGCACTAAAATGCAGAATTTAAATCTGAAAATGACGTTCCCTACGACAGACGAAAGTCAAGAAAAATTATTCCAAAAAGAAGGTACAGATTTCACGCGCGACATGATTTTATTTATAGCTCCTAATTCAATATCACAAAATTTATACAAAATTTTTTTGAGAAAATTGTATGGCATACATCTTCATTCTTGTACCTTTATGTGCTTTCTCGATGCATAATAAAACCTAACCTAACCTATATGTTTCTATTATGCCCATTTGTGCCAAGGTAGATTAACTTTAATCTCAATTCAACTTACTCTTCATCTTTTCCTAATTCTCAGAAAAAGATGAAGAGTTAGTTGAACCGAGATTATAAAATTAAATTACATTGGTAGAAACAGGCGTTAAACTAGATTTCGTTAGATCCAATTCGTTGGATAATTTGATCGAAAAATCAATGGCTACGTATATTTCTTTTTACATACAAATACGTATATGCAAATTCTTTTATTTATATATACAATAGGCAATATATCTTCCTGGTGTAATAAAATTACCACAGTGATTTTCCAAATGGGCATTACGGAGAAGAAAGCATAACCTGTCTGCTTTGCTTAAACACATGTTCGAATTATAATGGTCGCACCTGCATAGAAAATCGTATCCATAACCTGATAATATCGACATAAACGCCAATTCATTCGATGCAGCTCGAAATTTGAGCGTGCCTCGATCTTTCGCAAGGACAAAACATCTATTAGGAGCCATATTGGAAATCTCCTTCATATCGATCGTCACTTTTTGACGATCAAAGATATCACCATTCCAAAAAATTCAAATTGAAGAAACAAGTGAATGAAAACTTCCAAATCGAAAACATTCCATTCGCTCTTACATGCATTTTTATCAATCTAGATTGACTTTAATTACAGTTTATCTTTTTCTAATTCTTAAAACTAAAGGAAAATATGGAAAATTAAATTTATCGAGATTAAAATCGGTCAATCCATGTTGATAAAAAAACGGACATTAGAGACAACTTCATTCCTCTTCCCTTTCGACTAGAATATCGATGTATTTGCTATTCAATTTTAGCGAAGAAATAACGGTACTCTCTCGCGGGAATAATAAGCCCTGCATCCACTCATCCCTTTCAACCCACCCCCCCGTGAGTCACCAGCCGGGCGAGGGTGGCCGTTTCGCGAGGCAACTGCCGGTCAATGTGGCATTCAGTACTATGTTCATAGCGTACTCACCATGTGCAGGAAGGATTGACCGCGTACGAGGACGATCCACCAGCCTGAGAAACGATCCCGAAAAATCCAAAAGGGTAGATCTCACCGAGAGGGAGTCTCACCGAGTCAAGTAGCACCCGTCGTTGACTCCGCCGCTTTCCTCTCGGATGGAACACCGCCGTTGGACGACGATAATCGAGGGTAGGCACTGCAAGCAGTTCCGGAGGAAGAAACAGAGGAAAACCGTGCGAATATCACTTGCACGCGTCGGACTCGCTCGCAACGGCAGTCGGAAGAAGGCGATATGAGGCAATACAGCGAAAGACAGCGAACAGTACGCGGAACGAACGAACGAACGAACGTTTGAACGGATGGACGGACGGACGGTCGAGCGCGATGAACGCACGCCTACCAACCGTACGGCGCGCGGGTTCAGCGGCCGACTGAGAGGATGCAGTTTGCCACTGCTCCGCCATGGTCCGCTCGCGGACCCTTGGTGGCCCCCTCGTGGTTCCGAGCGCTCCCCACCGCACCGCCGAGCCACTACTCGACGGAAGAGACAAAGCGGCTGCGCGCGCAGCCTCGCATTTTTTGACCCTCCGTCTCGCGGGTTCCCCCTTCTTCTTCTTCTCTCGCTCGCTTTTAGCGCGCGCGCGCCCGCGACCATCCGCACCTCACTTCACGACGCCCTTAAGTTCGATTCACCGCGAGAGTACCGCTTGCTTACTCGCGAACGGCGATATATGTGCATGTATGTGCACAACGACGCGAGGCGGGCGGATTCACTGCGTACACGAATGCGTCTTTGCCACGATCGCGTCTCCACTTCGATCGAGGGGGTCGTTGTAAGCCTCGTTCACATCGCAGAAAAAACTTTTGCGAAATTTAGTATGACGCGCACGATCACCAAAAACGATCACGACCGGCGAAATGATTGCGCGAAGTGATTGCGAAGGAGGTGGGGGGGGAAGCGAAATTTCTACTCGAAATTTGAGTCACGTGATATTAACGGGCTGCGCCGATTGACTCGCGCGGCTAGACTAGTGAACGAAAAAAATTTAAAAATTTAATTGCCGCGCAAATATTGAGAAAAATAATCTGATTGTACCAACAAGAGGTACAAAATAAGAGGTTGCTGTGTAATTGAATTTCTGATTATATTAACTAGAATATTCGATAAATTCATATTGAGCTTTATTTGTCCTCGTTTAATTTTAATAAACAATAATAATAAAATGATCCTAAGAAAGTGTATGAATTATCTATAAATTACCTATAACTATTTGATTTTTATTTTTATTTTTATTAGTTGAATCTTCTGCAATCAGACTTTTTTCAGTGAAGAAACGAACAATGTCTTTTAACTGAATAAAAGTCTAATTGTATTAATTTAAAGATTCTGATAGTTTAGTGATAAAAATATAAATCAAGATACTTTTATATTTTTATCACTAAACTACCAGAATCTTTAAATTAATACAATTAAACTTTTATCCAGTTAAAAGACATTGTTCGTTTCTTCACTGAAAAAAATCTGATTGCAGAATATATAATACTATATATATAGTTAGATCTAACAAAACATTCTAATCGAAATATTCGAAATTCAATTACGATAACCAGTTGAGTTTTGATTGATATAATCACAGAATGCAATTTGTTTGTACCTCTTGTCGGTATAATCTAGGACAGGATTACCATATCTGAATCACGAAAATAGAGTACACAATAAATAAATATATAGAAGTACTTTTTAAAAGAGATGATTCTGAGGTAGAAGAAAAGAGAATATAATTATTCTGTGCATTAAATGTGAGAATTTAATAAAATAAAATTTCTACAATATAATACAATATTTGTTAACAATTCTTATTAATATAAGTTTATAAATATAAAATTTTAATTAATGACCAAAAATTGTACGATCTCAAAAAGATTTATATACCCTTAAAAAGAGTACAACTGGGGTAACCATATAGAATATACAATCAGAATACTTTTCTCATATATCTTATTTCGTCAGAGCTACGGAAAGAATCCGATATATATGCGATTCTATCGAATATCTATTAAACTGCAGAGAGAGAGCATGCGATTTATAAATCTATTGAAAGAGTGGCATAAATGAAGATTATAAGCACTCATCTTAATTCTTTCGATAAATTGAATACACAAGAAAGACATGAAACATGTATATCTATAAATTCAACACGTTTTATCTATTTTACGTGTTGAGCTAAATCTATAACGGTCCTTGAATGAAACACGTCTCAGATTTGCAATAAGACTTGCCTTTATTTGTTCCTCTCATTTCCGAACTTCCTTTTATGTTCAATAACAGCTAGCTCACGAACGTAGACACATAGGTTTTCGCGGTCTTCGAAACTCTATTCGCACATCTCTCTATTAACAAGAGAAAGTCTTCCGTTTAAATGAAGGAATGTATCGTTGGCTATCGTTTTTTCACGCGATATTGTTTCGCTATTATAGACATCGTGCTTTTCTCCCAGAATTAAACATATGGCTCACAAAAAAACTTAAACAGTAGGCCAATATTTAGCGAATATGCATAAAGTTGACATATATTGACTACATTGTCCGCAACCGTCTTTAGAATTTGTAATACTCAAACAAATTTGCAGCTGCGTTAATAACGAAACGTAAAGAAAATTATCCAAAATTATCGCATTTTATGTATGTCTTTATCAAGGAATAGAAATAACTAGTTTCTTACTTGTAACGTCGTTATCGTTACAACTTACTTTCTGATGTTTTTTTTTTTGGTAGCTGTAACTATAACATAGTTATATTTTTTCGGTAAAGATAACGATTTAAAGATAAGAATTTTATGATTACTTTCGTCGTTACTTTTTATATTTCAAATCTATGTATTTTATGATATAATTATTAGGTGTTGGAATTAATTCGTAGTGTTTTACAAGTGATGGGAAGTACTTTCATTAATGTATTTTTTAATGCTCATGTGAAATAAATAACATTCTTTCATTAAAAAACGCTACGAATTAATTCCAACACCTAATAGTATTTATTGTTATTTGAGTGTTAAATATAATTTTCAGAGTGCGTCCTAATGGAGAAAGAAACAGCGGAAAAGAACAATAACAGAAAGGAAAAACTAAGTAGGGGTTAACCAATCGGAATAATTTCATTTCGCTCTTTCATACCCGGGCTTCTCATGGATATTTTTTCTTTTATTCTTTCGTAATCGCAGCAAAGGATATATGAAAATATATTTAAATGATAAAATACAATTTGTATAATAGTCCGAAGTCAAGAAATAATCGTCACAATCGAGGAAAACAATATCGCTAATTCTATATTGTTGCCTTCAAGAGTACTTAAGCGATACATGTATAATATTAGGTGTTGGAATTAATTCGTAGCGTTTTTTAATGAAAGAATGTTATTTATTTCACATGAGCATTAAAAAATACATTAATGAAAGTACTTCCCATCACTTGTAAAACGCTACGAATTAATTCCAACACCTAATATAATAGAATGTCAACTTTTACTTAATGTAAATAAAAAATATATAATTTGAAAGGTTTATATTTTAATGTAATCTTGTTTAATCTTCGCAATTTTATATATTACTCAGATGATTCTATATATTCAAATAATTCAAATAATTCTATGGTTTAATTCCTATCCTATTAGAATATCCGATATCCTAATTCCTATATCCTAAATCTAGATAATTCTCGTAATTTTATATTTTAAGAACAATTTAGGTCGAAATATATTTAAATATAAAAACATTCCATAAAAAATTTTAAATATAAAGTTACAGTTAGGTACAAAAAAATAAAAATATAAGTCTATGGATTTTACATACACTTGCCAGAGGGACAGAAGCACGGGAAAAAAAGTAAAATATTCCCTCCGTGCAGCTTGCGCTTTAATTGCTCATTATTAAGTCTCCCTCGATTCTCTCTCTCTCTCTCTCTCTCTCTCTCTCTCTCATACACACTCTCTCCGTCGCGGCGTAATTACTACACCTTATTTACTAATGGCGTTGCCGCCGGATATCATAGTTGATCGCGGTTACGCGTTAGGGGCGTTATAGGGCCTGTAAACGAGAATGGCTCGATGTGCAACTTGCACATTGTCGTAGGCCATGCGCGAAGTGCGCGTAAATTTACATAAATATAAGGATTCCGATTAATGGGATGTCCAACACAGGGTAGCTTGGCGATGAACGCAACTCTCTCTTTCTCTTTCTTTTTCTTTCTTTTTCATCTGACATCCGCTTCTATATAGTACTTCATCGCGCCCTTACATGGGTACCTTTATTCAACCTGAGACCTTGATAATTTTGAGCTCGTTAGTAATAATTAGTTGCCGGCCGGTATTTCACGCTAATGTTGTGCGATCATCGGATCGCGCGGAATCATTTGTTTCACGAACGTTACAATGTTGCCACGACTATGAATCTAATGAGGATCATAGACCCTAAGTAGTCTTGTTAACCTCGTTCTAAATGATTAAAGCCAGAATCAAAACTTTTTCTAATTGATAAAATATTATGATCAATTTATAAGAAAGATTTATAGCCGATTGCCGTTTGATAAAATTATCCTAATGAGCAAAATGTTAACAGTATGCTAGCAACTTGCCAACAGAATATTAATGCAGCAGATTGACTTAAATCGATTGCTAACTGATCATTTTAAAGTCGTAAAAGCGGTCGCGACAGCGAACAATCAGAACATCAATAGTAGATATTACCGTTACTGATTGGTTGTCGTATTGTAGATCCCGCATGTGTACCCGCATGAAATTTATGTTCTGCTAACAAAAGTTTGCCGATATAATGACAGATTGCTAAACATCGATCAAAATTTGCTATTTTGTAAACATTTAAATAATATTATTAATGTATTATTTAGATGAACACAAAATATTAAATTAGGTTTTTGCACTTTATCTGCTACCAGATTGGTAAATTCTATTAAATTTTTATCCACCCGACAAAGTTTGTATTATTTACAAAATCTGTTTTTTTTTCATTATTAGAAGTATTAACAAACAGAAAATAGATCTGTTTAAATTTGGTCATCAAGTGATGTGGTCAAAGCATTACTATAAATGCTTTGAAGCATTTGATTGACCAATAATCAAAAGAAAGAATTTTACTAATAAAAGAATGCAAAGCATTTGTAGCATCACATAGATCATACCCTACGTTCAATATTTATATAATAATAATAATAACAATATGTTCTTATATTTAAGACGATCTTAGTACAGTCTTAAGAGGAATTTATATATTAAAGATCAATCTTTGAATTTCGATCTTAAATTGTAGCAACTTGGATCGATTCATAGAGAGATCATATTAAAAAGATCAATTTCTTGAAAGTCAATTTGGAAAAATTTATTTATGCAATAAAATCAGAGTTGACAA